AAAAAAAAGAGAATGAATATTAAACATTCGGAAGAGGTATTTGGAATAGTCAGTCACAGTACAGAGGAATTATTACAATAAAGCTTTCTGGGAAATCCCATTTTATATAAAGTTCGTGAAAATATAATGTATTTGGAGACTCATTAAATGTTGTGGGGATTTTGAAAGAAACAAAACAGTTGTTGACTAAGGAAGGATGTTAAGATAATTCCTGTTGTACCTAATTTTATCTGTTTCGTTAGGGTAGCTGTATCCAAGAATGGATTATATGTGTTTGTTACTTTCCTACTGACCTCAAAATGAGCATTGAATTAAAGACATTGATCAAGGTTTGTTAAGCTTATACTTTTGTAGGCAGCTAAATTAGGTAGAATTATAGGCAGTCAGACAGGACCAGCCTGCCCCCCACCCCTCCCTTTGGGGTCTCTGTCTCTCTTTCTCCCTCTCTCCCTTTCTCTCCCTCTCTCCCCCTCCCTTTCTCTCTCCTTCTCTTCCTCTCCTCCATCTCTCCCCCTTTTCCTCTCTCTCCCTCTTTCCCCTTCTCTCCCCCATCTCACCCTCTCTCTCCCTCTCTTCTCTCTGCCCTCTCCCTCTCCCTCTCTCCCTCTCTCCCCCTCTCTCCCTCTCTCCACCTCTCTCCCTCTCTCCCTCTCCTGTCTCTCCTCCTCTCTCCCTCTTTCCCCTTCTCTCCCCCATCTCTCCTCTCTCTCCCTCTACTCTATCTGCCCTCTCCCTCTCTCCCCCTCCCTCTCTCCCTCTCTCTCCCTTTTTCCCTCTCTCTCTCCTCTCTCCATTTGTTCCTAAAATTCATCCTTCAGTTTGAAAGAACACAAACTCATCCCAGGTACCTTTCAGTTCAGGAGTTTCATTTCCCCCTATATCAGTACAACCACATAAATATGATTTATAAATAAAATATTTAAAAATAAGTATTTTTTCAATTTACTTTTTTTTTTTTTTTTTTTTTTTTTTTTTTTGCGGTACCGGGGATTGAACTCAAGACCCTCTGCTTGCTAGGCAAGTGCTTATTCTACTGAGCTATGTACCAGGGATTGAACTCAAGACCCTGCACTTGCTAGGCAAGTGATTATTCTACTAAGCTATCTCCCCAGTCCAAAATAAATATTTTTGAATTTACAAAAAGATAATCACTTTGTTTTTTAGGTATTTAAATCTAAGCTTAGTTACCCCTGAGGCCTAACATGAAAATTGATTTTCTCTTGCCCAACCCAGGCTCGGAGGCATTTATCCAGGAGCCTAACAGATTGAAGCCTGTTGTTTTATTTGAGGTTAGTCATACAAATAAAGTCAGGCCTTCAAATACATAGTTTGATAATACCCAAGCATATAAAATAATTACTTTTTAAAAATTGAAAGAATGGGCTGGTGAGATGACTCAGCAGTCTAAGCACCTGCATAGGCAAGCACAGAGACTGGGGTTCACCATGTGCTGCACCAGCCCCCCACCCCCGACCCAGGCCCACCAAGCCAGCCAGCGAGACCGGCATGGTGGTGCGTGTGTGTAATCCCAATGCTGGGGAGGCTGAAAACAGGAGGGTCACTACAAGTCCAAGCTGCGTAGTAAAACTTTGTACCAAATACAATAATAATAATAGAAAGAAATAGTAATACGTATCATTCTCACCAGAAAATACATAAGCAGGGGCTGGTGAGATGGCTCAGTGGTCTAAAGCACCTACTTAGAACAAGCTTAGGAAAGCCCAGGGACCATGGTTCTGTCCCCCAGCACCACATGCCAGCCAGCCTGCCCCCTGGTGGGCTGAGCTGGCCACACACACACACACACACACACACACACATAAATTAAAAAATAAATAAATACATCAAGTTTTTTTAAAAAAAAAAATACATAAGCAGAATTTAATAGGGAGAAAATGTCAAATTCAGCAGGAGGACCATTCTTAAAAATAACTAACCAGTCCTCGTTATAAGGATTACAGTCATGAAAGACAGGAAAAACTGAGCAGTGTGTCATCACGAGAAATGGGACATGACAGCAAGCTGCAGTGTGGAATCCTGGATTGGATCCTAGAACTGAAAGAGACGAGTAGAAGAGAAATCTGCAATTCCAGCATGACTGATTAGAGGAAGTGCATTTGGAGGTACTTGGAGGAGAGCCCCAGAAAAACACAGGCATTCTGAAGTGGGGGAGGCTCCGCACCCAGAAACGGAAGCTGAGCCCAGAGATAAATCCTGCACATCAAACCTAAGATCTGGGTTGTTGGAGAGGAAAGCAGTGCCATCAGCCGCCTCCCCCTGGACCCTTGTCCCAGGGCTGCCACCCTGGGAGCTGTCATTACCATCTGAGGGGAAGAGCCAGCCCTGCAGAGCTCCCTAAGCTCTCTGCCTCCAACATGGAGAGGAACCAGGCTGGGGGACTAGCTGCGGCTGATGAACAACCAGAGGAAAGGAACTAGCAACACACAAGCAGTCGGTCCTTCCAGAGGCCGGCCCACCACCCACTGAAGGCAGCCGGCAGGGACCCACAGGTGTCTGCCCCTGGGAGACACAGGGGCTGGGGGCAGAGGGACTGAGTAGAGCCAGTCCAGAGCGGGCCCGTTCCTGTTAGTCCCCGAAGCACCATAAGAGTTGAGTCAGTGGGAAAACCGTCTACACGCGCGTCCTATGTGGCACGAGACCCTCTGCTGAGCTCTTGCAGGGCTGGTTGGCGATCTGAGTGTGAAGGGTCCATGGGGCAGAGAGCATCCAGCTGCCTCTGCGGCGCAGGAAGGCCCCTAGAGGAAG